TGTCTCTCTCTCTGTCTCTCTCTGTGGTCGCAAGTTTTTGGGGCTTTCAGATCTCGGATGTTTTTTGAGTGAAGGCCTGCGGCATGGTGCAGATCGCAATCAATCACTGCTCGCATAAGCACCTGATGCTTGCGAGCGAACCCATACCTAAACAGCCCTTGTATAAACCGAGTTTCCATTTCTTTTTCATCCGCCTTTCCATTGAATTCCTCATACATCCCCCCAAAACTAAGCCTTTCCGAAAGGCTCTGTCATCTGGCTGCTTGAAGATTTAGTTGTGGCCGTGTTTTCTTTGCGCGCTTTCTAGGGTGCGTGTACAGTCCGAGGATGTTGTAGCTGATTGTCTCAGAGCCCGTGAACTAGATGCAGACCCAGATCTCACCGCACCGTGAGACCTCCTCATAATTCCTGTTCTACAAGCTCTGAGTCATGCTCTTTGTTTCCTGGAAACATCAACAAGGCTCCAAATGGAAGCCCGAAATTCCGAAAGTCGCCCTTCTTAATGCCGTGCATTCAGCGCTGTACCAGGAAGTCTTTAAGTTCAAGCCAGCCTGAGTCTTGAAACGAGCCGTATGCAAATCCTTGACGGGCAACCCAGGGTGCTGACATTTGTTTAGCTTCCGAGCACCGATGCTGAAAATGAGCCCAGGGAACCCAGTCAGACCCGAGGCATAAACCCTACCCTTTCTCAAGGCCATAGTAAGCCTGTTTTTTGGCTCACGGCCGTGATCTCTGCGCTGATCAACTTCCTGCTGCTCCTGGGCTTCGCTTATTTATGAATTTCATTTTTTTTTCTCAGCGTGTTGCGTTTCTTAATTTCGGGTGTTCCTTGTACTTGTTCCGTGTTTTCGCTCTTGTTGTCCATGCCACAAGGTGTCTGGAAACTTTCCCAGGATTCGGTGGCCACACCATGGTTCTGTCGTCCATCGCGGAACGTTTCAAAGAGCTGTTAAGGGCCTCTGCACGGCTCGTGCGTTGTAAGATGTTACCACTTGCACTGCATGTGCTATTAGGTTTTGAGCCCCATGGCTCATGTTTACCAGTGGGCCCAGCAGAGCATGATCACTCAGTATGCCGAGATCGATGCAGGGTTTACAGACCAGTGATTCATGTTGATCGGCCAAAGTAATGTAGTGAGACCGGATTCACACCTTTCGGGCTACGGGGTGTATCTGGATTACCAAAATGAAGCATTGCACAGGCGATAATCTTTTAAGAACCGTTGCCCTCTCAAATATGCACAACATGTTTCAGTTCTAGCTACATGAGGAACCCGACAGAGGGGCTTCTATGTTTTGGAAACCCTGAAGCGAGTATCCTTCCAAAAGCTCCGTGTTTGAATCTTCTCCGACAATGGAGAAGAAGGCGCGTTTTTGCTTGCTGTACAACGGCAAGTGTATCATTGCTCATGCACGCAGTTGAAACCACCCATATGCTGCACCCTGGCACAGCGTGTCTGTGCACGATTGCTTTAGGACTGGTTCTGCTGTTTTATCCCTGCTCATGTTTCCATCGGTTAAATCCGGCTCACTGGCACGATGATGGTGGGTGCCACATCAAATAATAATGTGGCCCAATGGCCATTTAGACTGCTGGGACAGGGGAGCTAGTCCCAGTTGGGCGCTTGATGCAATCGTCTTTACTGTTTTCAAGCCATTTGGTGTGTTTTACTGGAAATGTGTGTTGATAGATTTAAGGTGGTTGGTGTATAAACCAGAACTTTCCATCCAAAGGACCACCTGTACATAGCAAGATTCGGAAAATAATGGATTTGTGCAGATCTTAAGCCGATAACCCATCACTGAACATTTGGGATCTTCAACTTCAGTCTCTGAGAAAAGCGTGAGACGCAATCAGTACATCCTTAATGGAGAAACCGCCGGCCCTTAATGCCGCGTGCTCAGAATATTACCCAATATAACCCCAGTATATATCCCCAATATACTATAGTAGTTTGCATTGTCTTTTCCATTATCCCACTTTAAACCCCAATATAAGGATGTTCGGCCTTTGCTGCGCATATGGCATGATCATGTTCAGCGACGATTTCCACAAACGACATGGAGCCTTAGGAGCCTTTGGCAGGATGATGTCGGGATGTTCGGGGTTCTGAAGGGACTGTATTGGGGGGTGACGGGTTCGGATCTGAGGCCCTGGGGAGAGTTAAGTTTTAGTGTTCGTACTTTTGCATCAGTTTTGCATCTAGAGCGTTAGGTTTTTGTTGAAGGTGATTGTGTGGGGCTCTATGAGGACTAATTCGAGTTGATTTATTTGGGTGGGACCCCCCCCGGCCAGAATAAGGAAGGGCGCCAGATTAAAAGAATGATTGCGATTCTTGGAACTTAATTACAAGAGGATAGGAATGCATTCCTGCGTCATTGGGGCTCTTGGACCTCTATTTTCTTTAAGAATGAATAGGAATGTATTGGATATTTCCATTATCAGGATAGGTTCCCAGAAAACTTTCTTTAAATCTGGTCCCTTTCCCCATACGAAAAGCCACCTAATTGTAGCTAGTCTTTGGAGCCAAATTCTATCCAAAACAATTTCTTGAAATATAGTCCCTTTTATTGTTCCAGTGCTCGGATTATGTACAGATGACGGATCCTTTACCATTACCAAGGGTGCCAAATCACTTCCTTCATAAAGCATGCTTTGGTTACTGCTTGCCTGTTTATATGATGGGGGGACTGTCAAGGAACACTCGGCCATTGCTGTTTTTTATCACCTGTTTTGTTTTCAACTGACCATCGAAGTCTTGTGATTATTGCGGGATGTTGTGGGGGATTTTGCCTGGCGGAGAGAATGCGGTCACACTCAGCCAAGGAGCCTCGGTCAGAGAGCCAAGGATTTAACTGCGTGAAGCCTAAGCGTTGCGCACTTAACCACCAGGGCCTTGAGCATTCGACGTGCAACCCTCCACGTGCTGTCGCAGGAGTCAAAATGAACTTGAGCACAGCCCTCATCATGGGCGTTCTCGTAGCATGCTGCTCGAAGGCTCAGCTCTCTTGATCACAGCGACATTTGAGAGGACAAAACCATTGTAATCTTTGGGGGTTATTTCTAGGACATCAGGTTACCAATTAGGTTCCGAACAAAACGCATAATGGCTCGGCTAGTAGGAGCAACATTGGGATCTATCAGTTTTGTCTGTTCTTTTTAGATTTGCACTTCTTCATTGTGCCATTTTTTCTCATTATTGTGGCTTCTGCTTCTTGGTGCACATTGCGTTGCGCAGAATCTTGGACTGACTCGTACCAACGTGGAATTTGTGTCCTTTCTGATCCTTTCTGTACGATGTGGCTTAGTGGGTCAGATTTCTCGATCGTTGAATCACTCAGAGGCAGGACGGGAGCTTCTCCTTTTGTGCTTGGGGTATGTTGGGAGCTGTAGGCGTCTGGAGGATCAGGATGTTTGTGCTGTTATTCTTTTCCTCATTCCTACTCCGCAGTTGGATGCAAGAAGCTTTCAGTTGTGAACTCAAAAATTTCAATCTCGAGCTCTTCTTTCACATCGCTGGGAGCACTCAGCCCGTCTGCCAAACCTTCAGCATGCGCATCTAGCCTCAAGATGATCTATTGAGATAGCCCTTCACTCCAAGCCATCCGGCTCTGCCGCTACAGAACTCCCGTCTGAATGTTTCAAAAGCCGTAGTCTTAGCAGCATGGCAGGTAAAATTCTACCTTCTTCTGTCCAGGTCATCTGAGAGTGCACAAAGACTTCCAATGTTTAGTACCAATCACCTGCTAGGCTCTGGATTCTTGGTCACAAGGTAGCTCTTGCTGACTGACGAGACCTGAGATTTTGAAATCCAAAGGGCCTAGCCAGAGGCCATAAAACCCATTGTCCCCCAGCGGCGTGCCTGTCTGCAGATCAATGTAGCCATCGGTGGACCGGACTTGACCCGTGGCTGCAGAGTTGGGGGACAGGATCTGTTCATGTCAGAGGGCCCAGGAGTTCGATGACCGTGGAAGCGGGGAGTGAAGGGCCAGGGCATTGAATGTGAAGGGTCCAGGGTTCAGGGACAGAAGCTGTGTCATACTCAGAGCAGAAATCAAGAACCAAATGCAAGGTGACTGTCACACTGGGTTGTATGCTTGGTCTCCGGAAGGCGGTGTTTAAAAGGTCTTCGTATGTAATTTTGACTCTTTGCTACCTTTGCAGCTTGATTATGGCTTGTCAGATGAGGACGTCCGCAGCCGGAGATGCAATAAATCCCCAAAAGATCTCCGAATGGCTTGAGGGAGTATATGTTGATTTCTAGGTTTTACGAGACTGCGATGCTGTTGATGAAGTACGTTTTCATGTTACATACACAGGCCTCAGCAGCCTTTTGTGACTTAGATATATATGTATATGTATATGTATATGTATCTATAGATATAGTGTTAATGCTTGCATCTTCGGCCCTCCTAGACACAATTCCCATCAGACAAGAGCAAGGCATTCACTTCTGAAGTTTCACGAAGCCCTCGGGGCCAAGCGTATCCTGTTATTTCAGCGTCAGGAAGGAAGGCCCCAAGAATTGTCTCATGACCACGGGCGCCGTATCTTGTGGCCCAATGGCCATATCCGCTGCTTTGTGCGAGAGGCTGATAAGAGCAGAGACATTTCTGAGACATGGCCAGTGCACATAGCCTTTTGCACTTGACAGCAGCACCATTCCCAGTGTCTTTGTCGTTTTTACGCTCAGGACTACCCTGTTGTTTTCTGCAACTTATGACCTGCACATTCATCCCTTCATCAATTCAGTATCAGCATTGTTGCCATCAATATCGCCATCATCGAAGCCGTCAGGAATCCAGTGGTGTTCTTCGCGACCTTTGTGCAGAAGATTGGGCAAAGCTTAGCGACACAGTTGGAGCTGGACTACCCCGTCAGCATCATGTCTCATATAGAGGTTTGGTCTTGCAGAGTTGTGGCAAAGGGTGTGAGCAGCCCCAGCCCCGGACCAATAAGAAATTGCATTTTGGGCTGATCAGGGCCTTCTACTAGCCGTGTTTTGAGCTTACCTAGGATAATCTAGGGACCCTTTGACTGTTTCGGTACAACAGGTTTAGGGTTTCAGCTTGTGCTGGTTTAAGTACTGGACCTGGCCTTTGTCAGGATTGTGCTTGGTTGCTTGCATTACTTCGTCACGTGCGTGCTGGCAGTGTGTGCATGTTAGAACGATGCAAGGGATGACGAACAACGCGGAATTGTATAGATTTTCATTTGGGCGCATATATGCGAATCAGATACCAAGCCGGGGCCCTGAACACATTCAACCTTTAGGTTGGTCCCTGAAGCCCTTGGCCGGTAGCTGTGGGCTCAAGCTCACACTGCCTTGCTGTAAAGAATTGACGTCCTAAGCTAGGCAAGAAGGCTGGGGTATGGAGCCCTAGTGCCTCTCAGTTGGAGCCCAAGCACTTTAGTTCAAAAATCGATCTTCCCTGATCTGTGTCTGCGGGGCCACTGCTTGGAGTGCCAGAAGCAGCCCAAACCACACGTGCGTCTTTGCACACGGTGCCTGCGACTGGCTACTGCTGCTGGATCCGCATGTTGGGTGCCCTGGTGCTGCTGACTACTTGACTATTTGGGTTGGTCCTGCTGGCTACGTGCGTGCCCCGCTGGGCCTGGTGCTGCTGCCTACTTGGGTGCCCTACTGGGCATGGTGCTGCTGGCTACTTCCACTCACTCACTCACTCACTCACTCACTCACTCAAAAATGGATCCCCTGTTTTCCCAGATGCACCAGCAATTCCAAATCCAAGGCACATCATACTAAGCTGACAAGACCCAATGCGAGTCTAGGTACCTTCTCAGGACGCAACGGGGCAGAGTTTCGAGGCCCATATTGTTGAAGGAGGAATGGATCCATACAACTAGTAATCGCTAAGCCTCAAGCCTTACAGAAGCCCCTACGGTAGTACCTGGGTTCGCTCCCCATGCCCCCCGAAACACCAGCCTTTTCTCAACATGATCAGGGTAGTTGCTGCCAAGTTCATCGTCAGCAACTTTTCGCCATAACACCATTCAGCTGTTTGCATCAGTATCAACAGTGTTGTGTGATTAGGGACCAATGTTATAACACACGTCACTTCATAAGCATGGTTTTCTCGTTCTTATGATCCAAACAGGTAGCTCTTCGCGCCGTCTCTGGGAAGCAGACTCTGTTCAAACTTTCATGCGACAGCTTGCTGGGGATAGTTCTACCGCAGCTCGGCCAGACTTGATCGCAAAGTTTTAGCAGGCTTGCCAAGTTCAATTGAATTCTGACACATTGCATTCCATTTCTACTACTTCCGAGTTTGATTGGTCACTTCCAGACGTGCTTAGCAGGGTTTGGAACAAATCATCGTAGGTATGCAAGCATCCACTGCACAAATGGTTGGTAAGCGTAATCAAGATATATGGCCTGCCTGAGCCAATTCTTGACCAAGAGTGTGGTCAATATCCGCACCTGTTAGACTTTTGAATATTGCAACAATATGCAGTGGCATGTACCGTGTGTGGCCCTTGACACTATCTCGTAGTTGCTTGTAGTTGCTTCTTTCAGCATACCCTTCCACCCCTCAGAGCCAGAATCTTACTGCAGAACGCAGTTGCAAAGTAGTGAGATATTTCAGCGAAGCTTACTCATGAATCAACAATGCCGCTGCCTTTGTCAGTCCGCTTCTAGAAAGAAAGTGCTAAACACACAAACCCTGATGCTACCAATCCATGACCCCTAAACCCACCAAACAGAGGAGGTCCAGATGGCAGCCCCTCAAATCTGCATCAGGAAGCCAGTACAGATCCAAGAAGGACAGTCATTTGAAATCAATTTGTTCCGCACAACATCAACCTGACATCCCAGACTGTCGAGTTCTGCACGGGCACCCACTTGGCTGACCACCTGTCTGCCTGTGAGGAGTACCATGCGCAGCCATTGGGGCTGCAAGATTCTTTAGGGGTTGAGCGCAGGGGGTGTTTAGGGTCACTGGCTTGGGGTTTGGACGCAGGTTTCCATGTTTCAGAATACTTGCTTGGCATTGGTAGAATCTGGGACACATCCTCGCACCGACCTCTACAAGTCTCACATAGTTGGCCCATGCGTTCCAGCTAGCGCTGAGCTTTCTGTCCAGAAGCCTAAGCTCGGAGTCTGATGTGACTCCCAAACGCGCGTTTGGGAAGCTATTTCAAAGCATCCTCTTGGTAGCCCAGACAGCCTCCCTAAGGCCACAGATCTAAGCTTGGCCCTAGCCTTATGAACAAACTGTTCCCAGAGTCTTCCATGTTCACAGGCCATGATATATCAAATGGTTTCATTGTTTCTGGAAGCCCCTTTCATTCCTTGTAGTTCGGTTTCTTTCTGCTGTGGTTCTGCTGGTTTGAGGCTCAGAGCCACAGTGCTCTTCTCCGCGTTCGCGTCATCTGCACTCTTGGCGGCCATCTTCCTTCTCTTGGGGAAGGCTGGTGGAGGGTCAAGGCATCGAAGCGGGGAGTCTATTTATTTGGGGATGTGGCCTTCACAGTGGAGCATCACCTTTGATCCTTGACATCGGTATCTTCTCCCCCCACCTCTAAGATCCTGTACGTGAATGTTAAAGAGGGGTTGTTTTTTCACGTCAGGCTTTCGAATCCATAGTATGAGGACCTCTGAGAAGAGATCTGCGATTTTGTTTTCCTTGTAGAAGCGCTCCTGGCTCTCCTAACCTGATCAGCACAATGTCCTGAACAAGCAACTTTCATGGTGTAACAATCTATCAGGAAGCTACTTTCGAGACACCACCATGTTACTCTGCAGGCACAGCTCACGAAATACGTGTCGTATGTGCCAACCTCAGTGCAGGAGGCGCGCAGGGTTCGAGATCTAGGCCAAGCGTTTTAGTGTTTTGTCGTCGGGAGTTTGCTGTTTCTGGCGGCAGCGTTGGCGGCAGGGTTCAGCGTTTTGGGTTGCTTCTGCAAATTGATTCACCTGCGCATCAAGCAAATGTATATGTCGCTCCCGCAAGCCAATGGATAGTTGCTGGATCCCAATCCTGGAACCCAAGGTGAATAAACAATTTGAGGTCCCGTTGGGATCCTCCTAAATCGAAACTACATCCAGAATCCTAGAAATTTGAAAGATGTCTGCCAAGCCCTGCGCGCACTCTGTATCCAATAGCTTTGCAAGGCATTCCTGTCCTGCATCGGCTACAAAGTTTTTAAGCCACTTGGCATCACTTGGCCTCGAACTGAAGGAAAGCCTGATGCTTAGTAGCTGGGTGGCTACACTTGACATCTTGTGGCCTCCTGCAGCTGTAATATGAAAGTATAGTTTTTTTGAGCCCAGGGAACTCAGTGACTGGGCCTAGCAACCAGAGGTTTCAATGGTATTCCATGTTTGGTACGAGGCCGTGACACAAGCTTGCAGTCCTTCCTCTAATGTACTATGCAGGTAGAATTAGACTGTCTTACGCTCAGTTTTGTCTGGTTCTTGTCTGGCACAAGACTCTCGTAGTCTCTCTACTGACAGAGAATGCAACTTGCTCGCCATGAAGAACGCAAAACTCAAAGCCTGAGCGGAGGCCCAAGACCTATCTTCTGCAGTGGCCAGTAATTATGCTTACCTATTCCCTAAATCCTAAACTGTGTAATTATGTTCATCTATTGCTACATGGTGCTTGTATCGATGCGATGCCGTCAAACAACCTGATGCTGCAGATCACCCATCGTTTTTTGTAGTAAGTTCATTCACAGTGCTATTTGTTCTCATAATTCAATGTTATCCATGGTGGCTCATTACCATGCGTTTCGTTGTACTTTTAATCATGGAGAGGGTTTTGAGCTCCCTTGCTGGTGTACGACAGGTCTCGCCCTAACTTTTAAGATGTGTTTCAAATCGCAAGCAGAGGTATGCTCTCAAGTTCAGCAACTATGACTACTACCAGTTTGTTCCCGCTGCATGCGTGGGGGTGCCTCTGTACTTCATGAAGGCTATGCACGTTGGCAGCTCGGCTGTGATGCTGCTTTGCGTTTTGCTTTGGCATTGTCACTTGAGTTGTCCAGAAGAGACCTCTTCGGCATTGCTCAGTTCACGGCTCTGCAGTAATGTGTCTACAAGCAAGTATGAGAACAGCGGTGACCAACTTACAGTTGGCATGCGAGTTGCGCGGGCGAGTTGGTTGTAAGTATCAAAGGTTGTGTTCGGGGCAGCGCCAAAGCCTTAAGGGTTCTGCAGACATTTCAGATTCTCCAGCCAATGAACCGGCCCCTCAGAAGTGGTAAGTGTTGGGAGGTGCAGCTTGAGGGTTGAGATTCTCGCCTTTGCTGTACGCGCAGTTAGGAGACAAGCTAGCACCCCTGGCACTCCTGCAACATCCCTGCTTATGAAGTTCAGTCCCTCCAAGCATGCAACCTGGGATGCCTGAGCCCTCAACTAGTTTTGAGTTCCAGCGGCTGAAAGCTGGGGAGTTCACCCTAAGCTTTCCCTGCACGGTTTACAGACATTAGGCGCCCTTTTGGAAAGGAACAAGTCTTTGGAACTTTTCATGTTGCAAACTTCCAAACCATTCGGCCTGCAAGTTCCGACTCGCATCTGAGGCAATCCTGCAATTGCAGCTGGGCTAGAAGAATCACTTTCGGACAATTGGGAGTCGAGCAAATTCTTCAGAAGTTGTGCTAAGTCGTAGCGCATCTTGTTGTATCATCACTTGAAAGTTGCGGTGTTAAGGTGGCGTTCGCAGGCCAGAGCAAAACATTCACGGCCGGCCGAGCAGTCCTTCCGTAACGCATGTTTCTTGGGTGAGAGCAGATAGCAGGAAATTCCCAAGATGAAGAAGGATGAGAATTTCTGTATCTTACCAGCTTTTGCCATACATACAGTACCCGTTGATTTGAGTACTTCAACGCTTCAATCTGCGACTCTTGCCGAGCTTGCAGGCAGACGCAGACTGCCCGAGAACTGAGCTCAAGGATGTCTCGAAAAGTACTTTTGGTTGCCATGCAGCAGAATCCCCGTTTCTAACTAGCAGTGGACCGAGACACAGCTGTATGGTTCCCAACCCCTTGATGCCGGCAGGGCACTTGTTCAAACAAGACGTCAAAATGGATCCATGACTTTCAGAGTTTCCCGCCTTACCAAAAGGTAATGCCGCTGGGTATCCTTCTGCCCCTGGGCCTTTTCTGGGCAATCGTCGCTGGATCTGGCTATGATGTAGTGTCTTGGTGAAAAGCCAGATTGGGACCAGTTGTATGCACGCACCCGGATACTGTGTTTATCATGGGGCACTTATGCGGGTGGTCCAAGTGAGGAAGCTTTGGGAGCTCTTGGAAGTATCAGAGAATGTCCGGACCCCTGCGTTTAGGGGCTTCGCACGCGAAAGCCTGCAACACTCAAGCTTAAATGAGCCCTTAACTCTTAACCCCTGACTCTGCAGTCTGTCTGGGGTTCATTTTTTATAGGTTTGCCTGCCCGTGTGTGTTTTTTTTCCGCTTCGTGTGCATTGGGCTTTTCTTTTTGGGCAGCCTCATGCCTTCAACCTAGACCCGCAGAAGGGATCCCAATACGATCTAAGATCAGATTTTCCAAGATCCCGCATCCTCACATCAACCGCATGTGAATGAGTTCTCAAGACATTGGCTGACCTTGTTGCAAGGAAGCAGACGCAAACGATTTCTTCTTTCCGAAGATGACCAATGATCCTTTCTACCTCATTTGGACCGACAGCATCGGGCAGTACAGCTCCTGGGCTAGAGTTCGTTCTTCTGCTCCTTTTGAGGTTCTCTTCCCAGTGTTCTGGCGGTCATTCTTATTCCTGTGATTCTGGCCCTGATTATCCCGACATTTCTATCACCACTTCTATGGACTTTGATAACATCTCCTTCTGCACGCACACAGGCTTGCGTGGAAGTATCTAAGCCTCTGGCGGCACAATCTTTGGGCCCCAGGACTCTGTGTCTTGCGGCTACATGCCCGGATTGTGGCACTTCTTTGCCTGGAGTCACCTTGACCTGGACACAACGGTTTCATATACACATATACTATACATATATGCGTATATGCATTATCTTGTACATGAGGCCGTTGAGCCTAGACTTCCACCTGCATAAGGACACCGCCAAATAGGATCATCAAGCATCAATCCCCTGGCTCAGTTTTTCCAGAGTCAGTTGATGTGCAACGGCACCTGCAGAAGGAGTTTTGCTGATGGTGATGTGCTATACTGCCAAGGTTACGGGCGGTGCCCTTCCAGGCTTAAGTATGCAAGAGTAGGCTGAGCTTTGGGATTTGGGACGGCAATGCCGAACTAAGACCTTACATGCTAAATGTCTTCTGGCGCAGAGGCGTAGATGCCAGACACCATGACCTGTAACCTGGGCCCTGGTGACGGAGACCGGTTTAAGGCTTAGCCTTCCTTGCGTTGGAGAGGTGACTTCTCCTGGGGTAATATTGGGGTTATTTTGGGGTGATATTCAAATCACGCCCCTCTTGGTTCCTGCGTGGTGTTAGCAGACCAATTGCAAGACATGTGTGGTTGTCTAGTCTAAATCCAAACGCCCAACAGGTCGCCAGGCAAGCTCCTTGAGCGTGCTCATATTACGAAAACAGTAGACCGTAGCTCAAACAGACACCAAAGACCCCATTCGAAGCATTGTTTGAGATGGCTTTCCTAATGCTCAGGCAAGATCAACTTCACAGCCTGGACAGCAACATTCACAGATCTCGGGCACCTTGCTTCCACTGCGATTTGCGAGCTTCTGAGAATAGTCGCCATGCAATCCTCAGCTGGGAGCCTTTTGACCCCTGTCATCATACCCACATGTCACGCGAAGCCCGCCAAGGCCCGCTTTAGTCTAACCTGCTTCAGTCAAATCTGCACATGTGAACTCGGTCTTCATATGAGTCTATGTAGTGGCAGTATTGCTGGTCGTGTTTGTTTTATAGTTCAACGTCTGTGCGTGTGTGTGGGGTTTGGGCTTCGTCTCTCGCGCGTTTCTTGTTTCGTAACAGCGTGAATGTTGCCTTTTTAAAGGCTTCTGTACCCTCGTCTTGTTTCTGACGTGCCAGTTTCTGAACTGCGTACAGGGGGGGGGGGCAAGAACGAATTTTCATGCTTTGGGGCTGTCCAGAACATATGACGGGTCTGCAGATAGCTGGTATTGCAGGAACTTAGAGCTTTCGACTTTGTGGGGTTGATGGTGACTGTGATCTCTGAGTGTATGGGAGCCAGAAGCCTTACTCCAATTATCCTTGGACGTTGATGTCTAAGTGTCGAACGTGGGTATCCCGAGGATCATGATTCTGGTGGTGGTCCTGGACTGCTCTTTGAAGTGCCCCGCTGACACCATCAGTTGCATTTGCAATACATGGGTGGTTTTAAAGACGTGTTTATTTGTTCTTCGGGCCCCCAAGATGTAAATTCTGGGGATACCGTACTTTTCAGTACGGAGCAGGACTATCTCATCAATTGGTTATACTGCATTGTTTGGAATAACATATTCTTACTTGGTTTGACCGCCAGGAGGAAGCTGCTCACCTGAACTTCGTAATTTCAAAGACGATATTGACTGTTGCCTTCGTGGAGATTAGGCTGTTCATAGTCTAAAGGGCTTCATGCAGATGCAGTGGCCTTAGAGCTCTATGTTGCCTGTCAGGATTTGCAGGGCCTGGCAGTTTGCTTTCAGCAGGACTATTGGCCAAAGATCCTCAAGGCTTGCACAACTGCAAGAACAAGTGATAACAAGTGCAGTCGTGCGGTTCGCACGCTAACAAGCATGACAGATGGAGAAAGACGAACACTTCAAACGTGAAGGGTGCTCCAAGCAATGTGTGCGGCCTCCCAGGATTTCTGCAACCGAGAACAAGATTCCTGTTAAGGCCAGCTCAGCGTTTCACACTTCTGGGGCGGTCCATCATGAGATTTTGTGAGAGCTGATTATGGCGTAAGGGTTTCATAGGACGTCATGAGAATCTAAAGAACTTCCACAGCGTGCACAGGTTTAGAGCCAGTGGACCTTGTAGATAATGATTCTTCAGATGCAGTTATCTCATTCTTCGGATGTCCTTGGTTGGCTGTCTGCAAATCTCTGACAGCATTCAGCACGGACAATTCATTATGTCAGACTTTGCTTCCGTTAGACTTACTTCTGCCACCTCGGCACTGAGCCCGAAGCTTGGAGAAGGCAGCACCAGTATCCCTCGCCGATTTAGGCTCTCACATTTATCCTTACAAATTTAGACCTCTCTTCCAACCACTTAGTTTAGGCAAAGTCCGATGGATTTTACGTGGAGCCTGAGACGCCGAAGCTAAAGCCTTCAGTGCCTGTAAGTCTCAACCACCAGGTGGACAAGAACTACGAGATCTCCCTTTACGGGGCCGTAAACGTGTTGGTCTCGTTATTTGCATCCACGGTGGGACTCCTGGACCTGATTTGCTGCCTCAGGGTTTCTCCACAAGATGTGTTGCTCTCCTGAGGCAGATGGTGAAAGCTTCGGGGATTTGAGGCATTTTGGGCTTCCTTGTTTCTGAATGTTGTCTACCTCAATGCTTGGAACTCAGGGAAAATCAGCGAGCCTTCCACTCCCTCCACAGAGTCAAGAATCGCACAATTTTGCTGAGGGGTATCTGACACACTGCAGATGACAGTTCTTACGGAAGTCCAAATACATTCTCCCCAGCCTGCATTGTCACCTGTATCAACCGAATTACTGCAGGAACGGGGAAGAATCATTGCACCTCTTCAGTCTTAATTCGCGCTGTTCCTTCGATTTGGGACAAATTTCGCAACACCGCAACCTGTCACTCCAGCGCTTGGCTCGGTATTGAGCAAAAATACGCTGCAGAAATCGATGGCCTTTGCAGTGCAGCTGAGGATACATGCAGTTGAAGTTCAATGTCCCCTGGCTGCCGCGCTGGACATTGATATGAAGTGATGTAGCACTTGCCTGACTTCGTGACTTCGTTCCAATACGACAGATGTCGTATTTCCACACATTCTTGTTCTGACGAGGTTATCAACTTTGGCGTCATGGGCAATGCGATCGACCGGCGTGCAGGTCCCTTGCAAGCAGAGCTTGCTTGCTAAAGTTATATAGATAAAGATGTAGACTGTCCAAGGTGTAAAATGAGAGGGTTTGCGTTGCATCTTCTCAGAAAATACCGGAGGTTATGGGTCCGGAACATGGTCCTTTCAGCGAAC